GCATCATGGTGCACTGCTGGTGTACTGTAGATCGGACGGACGTAGATAAACCGAGCAAGGATCTGGTGGACTAAAATTCATGTGTTTTTTGTTGCTAAAACACACGTGTATTATATAGCATTTCTGTTACCTTTAGCACCGCAAGAAGAGCACTAGCTTTGCTGAAGCGCGCACGCAGCTTAACGCGGCGATCGCATGCGTTATGCCTGATGGTCAGTCAGCTCAGGTGGTGTTTAGATACTGGACGTAAAGTTTTGAGGTGTCACATCTGATGTTATAAGAGATATTGCATGGAGTGTTCAGATACTAATAAAAAATAAATTACTTTTCGTCAGTAAACCGTGAGACGAATTTATTAAGCCTAATTAATCCGTCATTGGTGCATATGTTACTGTAGCACTTTATTGTCAAATTATGGACTAATTAGGCTTAAAAGTTTTATCTCGTAAAGTAGTCGTAATCCGTGCAATTAGTTATTTTTTAGTCTATATTTAATACTTTATGTATGTGTCTAAACATTCGATGTGATAGGGACGTAAAGTTTTAACGGACAAACTAAACAAGGGCTCAGTTGCTCTGCTGCGTGCAGCGATCCAGTGAAAAGAAAAGCCAGCCCCTCACCGTAAAAGCGGCTGGCTTTTAGGCTATTTCAACGACAACACCCAAAATACAAGATCTATTCGTCCTTTGGGTAGCGCTTCTGGGTAAAAGTTTCAATACATATTCGACATCTTCTCCAACAACGAGACCAAAAGAGATTTTTTCTACAAATAGGTTTCGGAGAGATGATGCACATATTTGGATTGTGCCTCTCGGATAACCCAAAATAGGTCTTCCATATAGGTACTTCTGTTGAAGGCTAATTTTAGATCTTTTACTTTGCCACTTTAACGCAATGCATCAAATATATACAGCCTATTCGTTTGACTTACTTGTAGCAGAGCAAGCGGACGAGCGCTAGTGAAGTGACTACGGACGCCAAGTATTACCGTTTTATTTATTAATTTTTCGGTAGCCAGATTTGTGAGCTACTTTTATACTTAGACCTTGTTTAGTAAAGTTTTGAGGTGTCACATTGGGTGTCATATGGGGTGTCGCATGGGGTGTTTGAATACTAATAAAAAAAGTAAATTATAGAATCCGTCGGAAACCACGAGACGAATTTATTAAGCCTAATTAATCCATTATTATCACATGTGTTACTGTAGCATTTTATTGTTAGATCGTGGACTAATTATGCTTAAAAGATTCGTCTCACAAAGTAGTTTCAATCTGTATAATTAGTTATTTTTTTAAGTCTATATTTAATACTTTAGGTATGTATGTAAATATTTGATGGAATAGAGCATAAGCTTTTAGGTTAGTAACTAAACAAGGCCTTACGACGGAAGATGGACTCAGAGTTTTGTACAGACATCCAAACGTACTGAAATTGCATCATAGTTCGAGCCAGGGCATCTGTACTACCAAACAGGCTAACAAAAGCTAGCGTAGCGGGCCTTCGGGAAACGGCAGGGCCTTTTCACGTACGCGCCTCGCTGCACACGCGGGGCGGGCCTCACGTGGACTAGGCTCTTGCTGCTTCGCTAGCTTTCCTTGCTGCCCTTTCACTCGCGTCACGTCTCGCATCTTGTGCAGTGGCCGGCGGGCGGCGCGGCGGCCATCTCATGTCTTGTATATAAAGGCAGGGAAGGGCACCCGTGTTCGATTCAGTTTCAGTTGTATCCCCTCTGTCGCCGCTGAGACCAGCGCCGAAGAAGAAGGGAGAAGAAGAAAGGAATCGGCCGGAGCAATATGGAGCTCTCTCGCAAGCTCTTCACGGCCGTCCTCCTCGTCATGCTGCTGCTCGTGGCCGCAGGTACGTGCGGCGGGCTGGCTTATATATCATCTATTCATCTGTGAACGTGAACTCATCTGGTACGGTCTACTGATCTGAGATGGTGTTTCGGTTATACACGTGCATGCGCGTGCAGAGATCGGGCCGGTGGCGGTGGCGGAGGCGCGGACGTGCCAGTCGCAGAGCCACAAGTTCCGGGGCCCCTGCGTGCGCCGGGCCAACTGCGCCAACGTCTGCAGGACCGAGGGATTCCCCGACGGCAAGTGCCGCGGCTTCCGCCGCCGCTGCTTCTGCACCACGCACTGCCGCAACTGATTCGCCTCGCCCGCCGGCCGGGGGGAGCATGCATGCATGCATGCCCGGCGAGTGCATGCGGCCCCGTTTCGATCTGTCGCCGTGTCGCGCGTTGATCGCGAACAGTCCATGAATAAGAAGTTTGTGTTTGTGTGGTTTGTTTTGGACTTTTTGTCAGCTGGTGTGACAAGAATTGCCGTTTGTTGAGTCGTGGATCGATCGGTCTAGTAGTGTGTGCCGCCTGTTCGTGCTGCTGTTTCCTCTGTCCCCTCAGTGTTTCGGTTTCTCCCAGAGCAATGCGTTGAGATCTACTGCTCCTAAGATAAAATTTCGAGCTCCCCATCTCCATCAAAGACGACATGCGTGGTTTGTTTTGTCTGTCACACTCGACCAGCAGATCAGTAGTCACGCTGGCCATCATCGGAAAAAGGAAAGATGACAGTGGAGTAGTAGAATACAGTCGCACACACGAGACCACAGGTTGCCTTTTGGCGTCTCGTGTTGCCACCACGGGTGATGCGTGCCGACACGCGGATGCACGGACTTGTATTGCTTGGTGTCGCGTGCTTGTATATTGTATAGCGAGTACATACTTGTACCCCACCACATGCTAGCGTGTAGCGTGTCGCGCATGAGCCTACTCTGAGCCTCGCCGTCGCACCTACGTGGGCTTTGGTAACACAAAGTTGGGCACCGCCGCTTTCGTAGCCGGCCCGCATTTGAGGGTGGTCGCCAGGAGAAATAGCAGAGATCGGTACCTTCTTCCTCCTTCGGCCTCCACCTTCGGCCCGGTTTGGTTCACTCTAAATCCAAATTTTGACACTATACAAAAAGAAGATTCCCCATCACATTAAACTTGCGGTACATGCATGGAGTACTAAATATTGACGAAATCAAAAACTAATTGCACAGTTTGGTTGTACTTTACGAGACGAACGTTTTGAGCCCAATTAGTCATCGTTTGAACAATTATTACAAAATGCAAACGAAATACTACAGTGGTTACTGTATCTACAGTATATAGGGCGGCGCCGATTTCGGCCGCAACTAAACGAGGCCTTCATAAGCCGTGCCGACCTCCTACAGTCCTCGGCCGCGCTCAGTGCTCTGCAGCGGGAGCGTGCAGAGGCGTGCTCCGTGCCCCTGCACTGCAGGCCGCGAGCTGCGGCCATGGCGCCCGCGGAGGTGTCCAAAGATGAAGCTCTGCAGGACAGCACACCTGGGTCCATGGCAAGGTCCAAGCACTTGCTGCACGATGATGGGTGGCATTGAAGCTGAATTGGCTGTGGTGTCAATGTGTCATTGTCACCGAGGCATGTCATATATCAGCAAGGAAGAGGAGTACCGTAGCACTGTTTTCTGGTGAATTAGTGATTACATATGAGAAGATACAACTGAGCAGATGAATGATGTTGCAAAAAACGGTTTGACAGGACACAGGAGTATGTAAAGGGTTTGTAGTTGTTTAGTTATACGATTGGAATAGAATAGTCAACGTTTCCATTCTAATTATGTACAGCCTGTTTCGGTTATTTGGTTAATTATCGTTCTTTGGTTCGTGAAGAAGTACTGCTGGCGAATTTGTGTGAAAGAAAAATAGTATTTCAGCTGGAAATTTACGATCGTATACGACAAGCCAAACGAACCGGCTGCTATATGATTCCACCTTTAAGCAACAGCTCTTGTTTATTGTATTTGACGACACTGTGTTATTGCATACAATGGATTTCAACTTAATTTAACAACATTTTTTTTGTGTGATGCATAGGAGAAAGGAATTCAATTATGTCAATATGAGTCATTCAATGCCAATAGAGTAATAATCTTTTCAACCAGAATTTATACCGATGTGACTCCATCACTTTTGAATATATCACCGTACTGTATAAATGTGTCTTTTCCCATTGCAACTCACGGGCATTCACCTAGTCTTTTTTGAAGACGGATGATCCAAGAAAAAGCTTTTCCTGGCCATGTTGGCCTGTAATTTACAGATGTATTGTGTATAATACCTGTCTTCCAGACAGGGTTTAGGCATCACATGTAATCTAGGCCCCATAGTCCTATTGTCCTTGTCTGACTCCCTCGCACCAAAATTTAAAACTGTGACTGGACTGCAGATCGTGTGCAGTTGTAACCGCTACTGCAACATATGCAGTACCAGCATCTCAGCTATCCACTGAACAGGCAATGGTTAAGATGAGAGACTACTTTTCTCCTTCCTTTTCTTTCACACTTCTGTTGTTAGCCACTGTTTTGGAGAAAATAAGACTAGAGACAGCTTAACACAAAAGAGTCCATCAATAATTAGAATCTTTTGCGGCATATATTTTACTTAAACTGTTAGCTTGATGTCCTCTAAATCGACGGTCAGGAAAGAGCATATGTTGACACAAATGAGCATAATTGAAAGCTTACATCCCCAAGTAGCAATGCTGATTTCCAGATACCGATGCAAGTTTGTTGGTTACGTTCATGCCTAGCCTAGGACTACGAGCTACAATACAGGACTGAGCTGAGCCAGAGCATGCAAAGGAAATGTCTCGCAAATATATACAGAGATCCAGGAAAATTATATAAACGAGAACAAATCCGGAATCGCTTACCAACAAAGTACACAAGCAATCAATCCTTGCCATCCCAGACTTTCATGGACAGTTTCTAGGGTGCAAAGCTACTCCCGCCGTCTCTGATGGTTCAATTCACTGCTGCCAGGCCATCCCATTCCCATATGTATACACCCCAGTAGTCAGAAACAAACGCAAAGCAAACCCCAAGAGGAGATTACAAACTATCAAATTCAGTTCATGACAGACCAAGGTCGCCAGGACCTCATTCTTGATCATAGCAAACACTGGAAATCAAAATCTCAACCTATAGTATCGATCGTCAAGGCAATAACTGACTGACTGTTTCTAGGGTGCATCCATCTCCTTTTCCGTGAGCGCAACTCTATCGCCAGTCTTGCTGATGTCTTCACTAAGCAGCTTCCACAATCTACAGATTCTTCCTTCTTTTCCTCAATGGTCTTTGCCTTGCGATAATCCTTGTCCGTCCCGAACAACCTGAAACACAACCAATGAGCTTCTTACGTAATGGCGGAGTTTAGAGCCCCTGCACAACTCAACAGTCATACTACGGATCCTCACCAGTCCATGTAAACAAATGTCGAGGCATAGTTCCCTGACTTTGTGTACAGCACACAGTGATGGTGGTCATGGAAGTCCGAGCTATTCATCATGACAAAAGTTGAGCACACGGTAAAACGTTCAGCTTCAAATAAACAAACACAGTCCCTTTTAAGAGGGGGAAAGGAAAACAATGATCTAGCTTACTTACCCGCCATACAGTGGCAGGAAATTTGATGGGCTCCATGGGAAGTGATAGCCGCTGTGAGCTTCAACTGTCTCCAATACCCTCAACACCATCCACAGCCACAAGGTGAACAGATGAGGGCCAGTAAGAGCAGGACCAACAACTGTGGCGAATCCCAGGAACAAAATTTCAGCTGGGTGGGCATATTCAGAAGTTAAACCAAAGGGTGTGGCGTACCTGCAAGGATTTGTTCTGTCATAGACTAGAAAATGTTGCAACATGTAAAGTAAGATGTAATGAAGCAATACCACTTACTCGTGGTGGACGCTGTGAACATGTTTGTATAGCCATTTCGTATGCTGTGCCCTGTGCCCCCAGTAGAATATAAAATCCTCAAGGACAAAGTAGAAAAGAACTTGAGATACAACAACCGTTCTGCAAAAAAGTAGATTGAAAGTAGAATAATTTTGTTTGTTACGGCTATGGCGGGACAACCTTTCAGCGAGAGTTGCATCCACTTAAGTCAATTCCTGCCATGCTGTCGATTGACGTGGAGACGAGGCAAGCGCGAAGTCTTGTAGACGTTTCTTCATCACCGGTTCTGGATACACATAGCTAGTTATGCTAAAATTAGTTCAAATCAGCCATGGTTGCTAGCTAATTAGCTAACAACTAGCTAAAGACTTATCTAAAAATTAGTCCACGTATTATCTCTCCTGTTTAAATGCACTAGACATAATTTTAAGTAGCAATTAGCTCTTGCATCAGACAAGCCCTTAGAACCATATCACTAGTAAAAAAAGGGCTTCTATTCCCGGCTGCCAACTCTCTTTATTCCCGATTTATGGCGGGAATAGTAGTTCGGGAATAAATGGTTAGTAGCCCGGGAATAGAAGTGGACCTTTAGTCTGGTTAGTGATACCAACGGGACTAAAAAGGTAGCCACTTGCCATTTGGGCTGGCCCTTTATTCCGGTTGGTATTACCAAGGGACTAAAGGGATTTTTTTCTTTTCCTGCTTATTTCAATTGATGATTCTTTTTGTTTTAATTTGGTTTTCGAATCGCATTATTCGCTGTAAAGTAATATCGATACGCTGCAGCGTCTTGTGAAGTTTTCGCCTCGATCAATGCACGCAAGCAACACAAGTAAAAAGTAAACTAAAACATAATATTACATTTCATAAATCACGTGGAAAGTTTACATTAATTGTATATTTCATCATCACATGTTCTTTGGATCAATATGAAATTTGGCTTTCATCATCACATATTTGGGTCATAGTAAAACTTGCCGTCGGGAGTTAAGACGTGATCATTCAGAAATCCACCTATTGTCTCTTGGATTGCTTTGAGATGGTGTGTGTCTAGGGTTTTTCCTTCAACCAACGAGTCTTCAATTTGAGATATGAGATAAACAAAAGTATATTAGTATATATATATATGTATCAACAATAATGATAAATAAATTATATCTATCACGAATATATATATATATATATAAATATATGTATGAAGAATATATATATATATGTGTGTGTGTGTGTGTGTACACTTACCCTTTTCCTCTAGACTAGTTCTTTTTTAGCACACTCTCATGAACTGCATAAACATAGTATCCATAGAGATTGGTCCCCTTGGTAAAAAGCAGAACCCACTTACGAGAAAAGATTCGTCATCATCCGAAGCGTGGAGAAATTGAACTAAGATAGGTATATAGTACTTACTTTGTATAGCACTACTTTCGGTGGCACTTTGCGTTTCATATGGTGTTCTTGAAGAGAAAAAATAAAAAAATATTTGGACCATTAATTTGCATGCGAGAGAGAGATGGAATAGTTTTGCTAGTGAGATCGCAATTAACTACGAATAATATCTATCATCTTTTGGAACTCTTTTTGCTCTTTTCTCATCGAGTCCCAGATGCCTAGAAGACCTTTTCTCGGATCGAGTTCCATCAATATCCAAGTGTTCTTTGTCATGTCCATTAACACTCATTAATTAGCTAATGGTATAGTGAACATATATATATGGATACACGATCGTCGACATTATGAACAATTACTTGAAGTTGTAGGGGAAGAGTATACATTTCTTGTCACGTTGCTTCTCTAAGAACATCTTGATATTGGCCTCCGTTTCTGCTTTCATGTTGGTTGGGGTTTAGGGTTTTTGAATACGATATGTGGATCAATGAAACCAATATCAGTACACCCTCTCTTTTTACACTCTCCCATCTCAAACCTGCATCATATATATAGAGTGAGGATAATAAACACAGACATGTACGTACGTAGCGACTTATTATTAATTAGTATAAAGAATCACTTACAGACAATAGCAGCTGATGAGAGTCTTGTCGAGAGAGTTTCGGTGGACTAGTTGGTGTAATTCAGCAAGCTAAATGTATATAACGTCATCGCCATGGAACCAATGGTCGTCTTTGATTCTGACAGAAATATAGAACTCTTTCCGGTGACACGCGTCGAGGTACAAGGTGTTTAGCTTGAACAATTGTGTACCCAGTTCATTGATGGTCTTAGGATTCCATAGACTCCTGCCATGCTTATATTTCTACCATTCATCCGCTACCGGCGCACTTTTTAAGAGGAAATCGTCAAGGTCGATACCTCTCATAGCATAAAAGTTAGCAAATTCCGCCATATCCACTTCTTTATCAGTAGGTATTTCCATCATATCCAACATATCTATGTTTGAACCATATTCATTAGCAATAACTAGAGGAGGGCTGATTGCAATTCTTGTTCTCCGAGTTGTGCAACAGTTTTCCCACGCTTATGACTTTTCTTGATTATCTTGCTAAGAGTGTGGTCAAAGTGCAGAAGGTGCCGAGGGCTTACTGAGCTTGCCGCCTCTTTTTTTCGCTTTCGACTTCCACCATCCGTCTTAGTTTAGCGGAGGTAGGTGGAAGTGTACTCTCTATTTGCTTCCTCTTTCCTGTGCACGAGAAGAATGCTTGACGGTTTTTTAACCGCATCATCTAACTCCTCTTTACTATTGGACTTAGGTTGGGGAGACCTGCTGTGTGCGTATAGAAGACAATGAGTCAATTGTTATTTAAGAGGCAATATAAAATTAATAAAAAATTGTTTCGTTCACCTTCATCCGTACCTATTATGCGCAGCAGCGGCTTCCGGGAATATTGATGTAGCGCTTACGCCATGCAATGAATGACTTCTCTGCTTCTCCCACGGTCTTCTCCCCATCACCTCCATGAATGTCAAGAGGCACATTGCTAAAACCTTCAATAGCTTTATCCACCAAGGCGGTAGCATATCCGGTGGTACTATTGCCCCATGGATTCTTGGTGTCTTGGTATGCGATCGATAGGGTTTACAACACCAATAGCCACCTTCATTGTGCCATTATCTTTTGGAATGTGTAGCTCACATGATGTAAAAGGTTTAGTAGCGTCATCCACGGGAAGCGCAGCTCTGCATCTTTATGGCATCGAGGCAGCTCGTGAGAAGCACACAACCGCTTCTCAACTAATCGGGGGCTAATGTTGATTCCCCGAGCTGTTGTAATCCGTGGGCACTCAATTGTATTTGCACTTGCCTTGCGACTTCCTCTTGCATTTTCGCTTGCATTTCTTTTCTCGCCTTTGTGATTCAAGCACCGCTTCCCGTGACTCAATAACATATTCTTTGCAAGATGCGGATCCTCTCGCCTCCTCATCCTTCCGTCTGGCGGCTTCTATGAATCGATCCATTCAGTGGAAACCTTGCACCATTGGAACGGCCCCTTTGCCTCTAGTTCGTCCCACAATGCTCAGCGGTCCCGATGGAATATATCAGTTCATCTTTCTCTCTGTTGGGCGAATAGTCCACTATCTCTAGCTTTTAGAATTTGAATCAACCTTTTCTGTTGCTTTTTCGAGTTTTGTGCCATGGACGAGCTTCCGGTGGATCGGGTCCAATCCTCCCTATGACCTAAAACCAACGCTTTGTGCGTTTAGGCCACAGTCTTGATTTAGGTACGACCCCTTGGCAATAAGGTCATTTCTATTTTTGCCACTTGGGAGCGGAAGTCAGCGTAGCCACACGATCCCATGTTATGGTGGTATTGCTTTTGTCGGAATTCTCTTGGTTCCTTCTCGCCTGTTCCGCACCCTATTACGATGTCTTGTCTTGTACAAATTCCTCCCAGTGAGGGCCTTGCCTTGTGATTGGGCCCTTATCATTCCAATTTAGAGTCTTGTTGTTCTTCTTGACGTATGATTTGTACTGTTGCTTCTTCCAAGATTGAAATTGGGTGGCCATCTTCTTCATTGTCTGATTGCCTAACTCGCTTCGTCAACCTTTTCGTGGGTGATGTCTTCATGATAATCATCTGTTTGGAGCGTGAAATGTGCAAGAACATCTTGCCAAATCAGCTCCTTGTCCTTATCAGAGACATAACTAATATGAGGAGCATTGTTATTTTTTTCCATTCACAGGCATTGATCGGGAGCTTGTCCCTTACAAGGTACCCATAGTGGTACATGAATTTCTATGCATATTGTCCTAGTGGTTTGCCTGTAGCCACGTTGAATTCTGAGATGATGTAGCGGCCTTCCAACGGCTTTTTGGCCCCTCGAACATTCTTTGTGTTCCCCTGTGTAAGTCGTCGATCCAGTGCGGCTATATCATATAGAAACACAAAAGTATTATAAAACGAAAGGTCGATCCGATGGGCTACATGTATGCATAATAAATAAATGAGAGCTAGATATTGAGAAATATATACCTCGCCGGAATTATCTTCATGAACAACTTCCTCAACAATATGATCGAGATTCAAGTATTGACTCCCGTCGTCTTCCTGCTGGTCATTATCAACATCGACATAATGTTCAGCGCCGACGTTGATAATATCCATCATTTCCGCCTCCAGGTCATCGTCTCTCGGGTCGGCCATAGAGATCGAGCCTAAACAATTATAAAACAATAATTATGCAATTAGGGTTTTATAGACATTTCATATATATTTCGGGGCGGTGGTGCCTGCGCGGGGCGGCCGGCCAGCGTCGGTGGCCGGGGAGGGTTTAGGGTGGTTTAGGGTGGTCTAGGGTTTAGGGTTTAGGGTATAGGCCACATGGTATCAGAATATAACACAATTGATTTTTTTCCTAAGGTAAAATTATACATGTATACATTAATTGATATATATATATACACACGCATTAATTTCGTACATATATACATTAATTGATATATATATATATATACATTTCATACATACATAATTTCATACATATATAATTTCATACATATATACATTAATACACATTTCGTTAATATAATTCATAAATATAATATATATATATCGTGGTTTAGAATTAATGGAGTGTTGGCGACAGGCGGTGGTGGGCAGTGGCTGGATCGAGGCATGGGGCTCAGGTGGGGCCATGGCGTTGTCGAGGCTACTCGGCCGAGGTGTGGGTGGCGTCGGGATGCCCTCCGGTGAGAAGAAGGCCTGGCGTCGGGCGGGTGGCCCAGAAAGCGAAATCGATGGCGGCCTGGTGCGCGCGTGGCGTCGGGGGCAGCCAGGGGCTCCTCCTTGAGGGGCGTGGCGTCGGGGCTACTCCGGCGAGGTGGGCGGGCGGCGGGGTGCCCTTCTGTGAGGAAGGCGGCGTCGGGGTGGCGGGAAGGCGAAATCGGCGGGTGGCGTGGGCGTGTGGGGTGTCGGGCGGCCGGGGGCTCCTCGATGTGGGGCGCGGCGTCGGGGCTACTCCGGCGAGGTGGGCGAGCCTCGGGGTGCCCTCTGGTGAGGAAGGCGGCGTCGGGGGTGGCCGGGGAGGCGAATCGGCGGCGACGGAGCTCAGGGGACACGCCAAGACGAAGACGATCGATGAGGAGAAAGAGAGAAGAGAGCCGGAGGTATATAGGAGAGGGACCTTTAGTCCTGGCTCCATCCACTGCCCGGGACTAAAGCACCTATAGTCCCGGCTCCTGCCACCAGCCGGGACTAAAGGGGGGACCTTTAGTCCCGGCTCCTGCCACCAGCCGGGACTAAAGGGGGGACCTTTAGTCCCGGCTCCTGCCACCAGCCAGGACTAAAGGGGGGACCTTTAGTCTCGGCTATTGGAAGAAGCCGGGACTAAAGGATTTTTTGGTGGGCCGCCAAATGTAGCCCATATTTAGTCCCAGCTGGTGGCAGGAGCCGGGACTAAAGGTGGGCTACATTTTCATTTCCCGCCAACGTTTAAGTAGATCAGTTTATTTTATATATGTTTTGTATTTAAATGTTTAAGTCTTATTATTTGCGCAGTAAATTCAATACTAGGCATAAAATTTTTTAGAAAAAGTAATAAACTTTACTTTCATTTACTGCGCACAAAAAAATATGTGACCTAAACTATTGTGTTTTTTATTATAAATGTTGAACATAATGCAACTAATACTCACTATTTTCGTTAATGCAAAAATGTAGACTTTCATTGAAATTATTAAATTTATTGGTTTTCGACAGGAAATTAGTTTTCACGTAATGGTAACGTAAATCTTTAGGTTCTTCATTAATCATTGTATAATTAATCGGTGAGTTCGGGCGGAAATTCAATTAAAGTTAAAAAAGTACCAAACCACCTCAGAAAAATCTCAAACTTGATGGTGGCTACACACAGGGCATTTGTAGTCTTGAGAAAAAGTTTGAGACCAATCCAGCACTAGAAAGCAAATGGACTTCACAGTCCCAGAGAACTTAGGTGTATAGATAGAGTTGGACAAAAGGTTTTTATACCTACCTCTGTGAAACTGCGTTGACTCCGCCTATGTCGAAACGGCTTGAAATCTTTTGGCAGTCATTTACACCTAAAATATGGCCCCACACAAGATCTTAGATTTTTACGATAATTATTTTATTATTACATTTTTTCTTTGTGTTGCGTGAGACGAAATACGGTGAATTACATATTGAAAACAATATAATTTTGCATCAACCTCCACAAATATTTGTCTCCTAGGGCACAATAGACCATTTGGCAAAGTTTGGCACCATTCCAGATCATTTAGGGTGGACCCGGTTCAATGTATAATTAATCGGTGAATCGTGAAAATTCAATTAGAGTGAAAAAAGTACCAAACCATCTCAAAAAATCTCAAACTTGGTGGTGGCTACACATAAGGCATTTGAAGTCTTGAGAAAAAGTTTCAGCCCAATCCGGCACTAGAAAGCACATGGACCTCAGAATCCCAGAGAACCTAGGTGTATAGATAGGGTTCGACGAAAGGTTCTATATACCTCTGTGAAACACGTCGACTCCACCTATGTCGAAATGGCTTAAAAAATTTTGGCGATCATTTACACCCAAAATATGGTCCCACACAAGATCTTAGGTTTTTTCGATAATTATTTTTATTATTACATTTTTCTTTGTGCCGCATGAGGCGAAATCTGGCCGAATTACATATTCAAAACAATATAATTTTGCATCAACCTCCACAAATATTTGTCTCCTAGGGCACAAGAGATCATTTGGCAAAGTTTGGTACCATTCGGATCTTTTGAGGGGTGGACTCGATAACGATATAATTAATCGGTAAAATCGTAGAAATTCAATTAAAGTGAAAAATTTACCAAACCAATTCAGAAAAATCTCGAACTTGGTGGTGGCTTCACCTTTGGGCATTTGAAACCCTGATAAAAATTATGAGATCAATCGGGCACTAGAAAGCATATGGACGAGAAAATTCAAAGTATAGTTAACAAAAGAATATAATCAATTAAAGGGTCTTTTCTCTTATTAAATAAATGTTTGGGTGCTTTCTTCTAGAAAGTGACTTGAATTCAGATAGCTAGCTAGTCTTGTTGCATGGTTTGGACCTTGGCTATGAGGTCGTGGGTTTAATGCCTGGTTGTCCCTTTTTTTTTTGTCGGTGACTATATTATTTTATCAAGAAAGATTTTATCGATTTATAGCCCGAGCCAGGACTAAAGGTCATCCTTTAGTCCCGGAAGCCTCAAGCCGGGAGTAAAGATTTATTCCTGGTTGGAGGGTCTAGCAGGACTAAAGGATGAGCTATCTTAAGGACTAATTATTACTGCCGTTACCACACATTTGGGACAGGAACTTTGTATCCTTATTTGAGGATACAATCGGGACTAATAGTCCCTTTAATCCTCGAACACAAAAATACCAATACTAAAGGTAAAAATAGAGACAGGATGAAAGGTCTGTTTTCTAGATGCAATCCATTCGAAAGCAACTGAAGATTATCAACCCAGTGTACCAGCACTATCTGTCAATCCTGGTAGCGCTCATGAAACCAATGGCGTGGCTCTAATTCAACGGCCGATGGCCGATGGTTTTACGCTCGCCACAAGCTCTCGACGGGCCATGGCACGTCGATTTGCCGTCTCCTCTGCGGCTCTGCTCTTTGCCGGGAACCCAACCCCAACCCCGAAACCGCACCAGCAACAGCAACGGGGACAGGTCGCCTCCCGGCCCACCGATCGAACGAGAGCAATAACAAGCGGGTAGGATCGCTACAGGTGGAGTGTGAAAAATCGTGCGCAGGAGCCAGGAGGCAAAGGAACATGTGGTCAAGACGCCGCGTTTTCACTTTGCTTGGGCCATGTTAAGTTGCCCCAAATTTTAGAATTTGGCACTATGCAAAAAGAAGATTTTCCATTACATTAAACTTGCGGTACATATATATGAAGCACTAAGCGTTGACGAAATCGAAAACTAATTTACAGTTTAGTTGTACTTTCTGAGAGACGAACGTTTTGAGTCTAATTATTACCAAATAAAAGCAAAATACTACGATCGCAATGCGGTGCCGCTACAAGTACTAGGATTCATTTGCGCCGAATCCGGGCGAACTAAAACGCGGCCTTGTTTAGTTAAAAAATTCCCAAAAAAGTGCTGCGATGAGTCAATCACATGAATCTTTGCGATACGTCGCATGAAGCATTAAATGTAGATAAAAAAATTAATTGCGGTTTAGTTGAAAATTCCGAGACAAACATTTTAAGCCTAACTAATCTATAATTAAACACTACTTACTAAATAAAAACGAAAATACTATAGTAGAAAAATTTTCAAAATTCACGAACTAAACACAGCATTTACTTGTAATGGGCCTCCCGCCCCGGAAATCTCCGTTTTCTCCCAGACAGACAACCGTGTACTACGTCTACACCCACTGCAGCCAGCTGCAGTAGGGGCAGGAAGCTGGGTCCCACCTTCCAACGCCTATATAAACCACCCATCCGGCATCCGCCACGGCTGTAACAGCAGCTCACTCCCCTCGCCACCTCTCACCTCGCATCAGCAGTAACCACACACATCCTCCATCTCCCTCGCCGCCCTCCTTGCACGGTGCACGCTGAGCAGCGAGCGAGTGACGAGCTAGCCATGGACCAGCTGCCCAAGCGCTCGGCCAACTACGTGCCGCTGAGCCCCGTGGGGTTCCTGCCGCGCGCCAATGCCGTCTACGGCGACCGCGCGTCCGTCATCTACAGGCGCGTCCGCTTCACCTGGCGCCAGACGTACCAGCGCTGCCGCCGCCTCGCGTCCACGCTCCTGTCCCTCGGCGTCCGCAGGGCGACGTCATCTCCGTGCTCGCGCCCAACGTGCCGGCCATGTACGAGATGCACTTCGCCGTGCCCATGGCCGGCGCCGTGCTCAACACCATCAACACGCGCCTCGACGCCGGCGCCGTCGCCACCATCCTGCGTCACTCGGGGGCAAAGCTCTTCTTTGTCGACTACGACTACGTGCGCCTCGCCAGCGACGCGCTCCGCCTCCCTCGCCGCCGACGGCACGCCCGCCGTCCCGCTCGTTGCCGACATCGATGACATTGACTCGCCCACGGGGCCCGCCTCGGAGAGCTCGAGTACGAGGCGCTTGTCGCGCACGGCGACCCCGACGCGGAGCTCCCGCCGCTCGAAGATGAGTGGGACGCCGTCACGCTCAACTACACCTCCGGCACCACGTCCGCGCCCAAGGGCGTCGTCTACAGCCACCGCAGGGCGTACCTGAGCACCACCAGCCTGCTGCTGCAGTGGGGGTGACCACCGAGTCCGTCTACCTCTGGACGCTCCCCATGTTCCACTGCAACGGCTGGACCTTCACCTGGGGCATGGCGGCGCGAGGCGGCGTCAACGTCTGCATCCGCGACGCGCGCCCCGCCGACATCTACCGCACCATCGCGCGCCACCGCGTCACCCACATGTGCTGCGCGCCCGTCGTCTTCAGCATCCTCCTCGAGGGCGACGGCGCCACCAGGCAGCTCGAAACCCCGTGCACGTCCTCACGGCGGCGGCGCGCCGCCGCCAGCTGCGCTGCTGGAGCGCGTCGAGCGGATCGGCTTCAAGGTCACCCACGCCTACGGCCTCACGGAGGCGACAGGGGCCTGCGCTCGCGTGCGAGTGGCGGGACCAGTGGGACCGCCTCCCGCTCCCGGAGCGCGCGCGCCTCAAAAGGCGCGCCAGAAGTCAGCGTCCTGTCCCTCGCCGACGCCGATGTCAAGAACGCCGACACCATGGTCAGCGTGCCCCGCGACGGCAAGACCGTCGGGGAGATCGTCCTGCAGGGCAACGGCGTCATGAAGGGCTACCTCAACAACCCGGAGGCGAACGACAACGCCTTCAGGGGCGGCTGGTTCCTCACCGGCGACGTTGGCGTCGTGCACCAGGACGGCTACATCGAGATCAAGGACCGGTCAAAGGACGTGATCATCAGCGGCGGGGAGAACATCTGCAGCAAGGAGGTGGAGGAGGTGCTGTTCCGCCACCCGGCAGTGGCCGACGCGGCGGTGGTGGCGATGCCGCACCCCCGCTGGGGCGAGACGCCCTGCGCTTTTGTCGTACCCAGGAACAACGCTGCCGAACTCAGCGAGGACGACGTGCTCGCGTTCTGCGAGAAGCGCATGGCGCGCTTCATGGTTCCCAAGAAGGTGGAGGTCGTCGGAGCGCTACCTAGGAACGCGCTCGGAAAGGTTGAGAAGGTCAAGCTCCGGCAGGCGGCACGGAAGCTGGCGCCCACCGTACCGGCGCAGAAGCCGAAGGGGAAGACGACGACCTCCTCGACGACGGTCGGCGGTCGCCGCGAGGAGCAGCCGGTGGCGCACATCATGGCGGTGTCAAGGCTATAGGTAGCACAACACTATAGAGCACAACTAGTGCTACACAGTGCACTTCTTTTTTGCCAAAGCTTTGGAGCTACTCACACGTGCCAGAGCTCCAAGGATGGCGTAGTTTTCAACTTCTTTTATGGGCAGTGATAGTGTGGGTACGGATGTGGATCACTCGCACGCATTTGTTTTCCATCATTTTTCTCTTTGTACTTTGATACTTAATTATGTGCACATTGTAAAAAGTACTACATGCTATAAAAACGTGAAGGAAATAAATTTTGTTCTTGCTAAAAATTGCGATAAAAGTTTCTGCTTTGCACTTCTTCTTTTTGTCTCGTTACTAATCCGGTGGTAGTGACAGAAATTAGACTATAAATTCCGGTGGCAAACAACCTGTTCGATTTGGTGTCGTATCCGGCTTATAAGCCGCATGACTTATCACCAATAAATAGTATTTTTCTCTTACAGCGAAACCAGAACAACGAAGATTTTTTAATCATGGCTTATAAGTCAAACCAGTCCAAACGAATGGGGCGTTGAGAGTTATTAGCGTCCGGACGCTGGTCTAAGTATCGGACGACTCCGTCAGTTGACAGCGTGCACGACCTTTCATGTCCGCTGACCGCCTCCAGTAAATTATTATTATAGACCATTACACACTGTCTTGCGTCACCCACTTGCATCAGCCGGACCGTTCCCTCGCGTCATGCCATCGTTTGCTGCATCGTTTCACGTGTCCATGCGGGCCCGTGCGCCCGAACGCCACCCAGCATCGAGGAGAGGAAGAGAGGCGACGAGATGCCTAGCCGACGCCTGTAAGGAGGAGACAATGACGGCGAGGTATGTAGAAAGCAAGATGGGAGATGCAACACCTAATCTATTTCCGAAACATTCAGATACAACACTTTCAAGAAAAACACTTTCAAAAAACACTTAAAAATCATTGTAAAACATACGCAACATCCATATAAAATAATTGTAACATATGTGGCAAAAACATATGCAACATCTAAACATACACACTTGCAACATACGTCTGAAAAACAGATTAAACATTTGGAACAAGCGTTTGAACATCGTGTACAACTATTCTTATGTATACGATATTCTAATCTATTTTTGTAACATCGTCGTGAAACACTCGGAAAACTTGAAGCTACTCACGTGCCAGAGCTCCAAGGATGGCGTAGTTTTCAACTTCTTTTATGTGCAGTGATAGTGTAGGTACGGATGAGGGTCACTCGCACGCGTTTGTTTTCCTCCCTTTTCTCTTTGTACTTTTATACTTAATTATGTGCACATTGTAAAATACATGGTGTGAAAACGTGAAGGAAATAAAATTTTGTTCTTGCTCAAAAATTTGTGATAAAATTTCTGCTTTGCACTTCTTTTTTGTCTCGCTGATCCAGTGGTAGTGACTAAAATTAGACTGATCACTTATAAATTCAGTGGTAATGATTGGAAGCGGGGTAGTAGACTTCGCTTTATTTCCACCAGCAAGCCCCTCTGATATACTCTCTCCTGAATAAATTAATTTCTAGAAATCTTTTAACTTAGACCAATTTTATGTAAAAGAGCACTAACATCTATTACATAAAAAGTATAATGTGAAAATTTAGAGCCTGTTTAGCATGGCTCCACCCACAACTCCACCAACTCTAGCAAAAATCCAGCCAAACACATCAACTCCAAAACTCCATGGAGCTGCCAACTCCATGGAGTGTGGCTCTGAAATAGGGGTGGAGTTTTAGAGCACCTCTTTGCTGCTCCAAAACACCTTTCTTGAACCTCCTCGTGGAGTTGGTGGATAATTACCCACCAATGCCACTCGTTACACAAAAAAAACGCGATTCGTTTTCTTTTCTTGCGAACCAGCGTTGTGACTTCCTCCTGCCGTCGTTGCTTCTCATCGGGCCCCTCCCTCACGTCCGGGTGGCCATGCCACGCCACAGCCCCATCGAGCGCGCGCCGGCAGCGGTACACCTTCTTCACGCCAGCTTCGCCATCTCCCTCCACCCGGCGGACTACGACGCGTCACGGGTGCCTCCGGTGCTGAATCGCTCGCCGCTAAGCACAACCTTCGCGGTTGCGGCGCGAGGTGGTGAATGAAGCGGCGTCGCGTCCGGTAGCGACTCCTTCCTGGCGCTCCTCCACAACGCCTCCTTCTTTGGGCTTCGACGTGGCGAAACACCGCGCAAGGCTCGGCCAAGGCAAGGGAAAGTACAACTTTGTTGGCGGCCGGATGCGTGGTTTTATGGGGCGACGGCGTCGCGTGGAAGCCGGCCGGTGTACTGGTGGACGGGATCTACATGACCCAGTAGCGCGTCATGAGGGCCATATCGATCTCATCTACCATGGAAAGTACCTGGAGCCGCAAATACTCACCTTCCCGGAGAAATATGGCCAGACATAGATACGATCTTCATACAGGATAGATAGGGATATGCTATAAGATAGAGGCACGTACGTAATGAATCAAGCTATGAGCAAAGTACACGTGCTAAAGCTGACAATGGTGCCATCACGATTTCATCTAAGCTAAAAACAGGAGACTTCTGAAGAAGAAGATGGAGCAGAGAGGATGACAAGTGGGACTTGAATTGGGGGACAACAATGGCAATTCACACTGGAATCGGTTTTTTTGAGCTAAGAGCACCCATCTAGCCAAACACCACATTTTAGTTTTGGAGTTCTGGAGTGGAGCTGGCTCCACCTGGAGTTTTGGAGTGGAGCAGCTCTACCAGAGCTGGAGCCATGCCATGCAGGGCTTTATTTGACCAATTTTAGCATCATTTTTTCTACATTAGGTTTCCATAGCATCTTCTACAACAAAGTACATATAACGCTATGGAAGTGCATCGTTACAATTTTTTAGATGATTGAACTATTGAAGCATATTTTTCGAATTGGTTTTCATGTCTCCATCCAATACGTGTTTTGCACTATATATTCTACTGTATACACGTTAAGGATGTTTATTATAGCTCAAGTCCAAAGGGGCAAAGGGGTATCTTGTATCCCAGTCGCTTGTTATGTTCATATGTTAACGATTTCTGGCCATTAAATGCGAGCGGGACATTCGCGCATTATTCGTTTGGCTTATAAGTCGTACTTTTCAATCAACGAATAGTATTTTCTCTCACAATAAATCAATAAATAATCTTTCAGTCATGACTTATTAAGCCAAAGATAGGGCAATTGTAGATAGAGCATCTGCCATTCAACTGAGTTGTTTGATTATAGAATCAGTAACTTTAAACGTAAAGGAATCAAAGCTTTGGACATTATGACAACAGATACGACGCTGATCAGATTTCATTTCCATTTGCATTACTATTCATTATTCAACGAACCAAACAACACGTAAGATGTAATGTAATACACTTACATTTATCAAGTGAAAAAAGAGAGAGAAGGTTCTCAACGAAATACAGCATGCTTCCCTGAATAAAGGAGACCCAAAGAAATTCAAACAGACAGCGTCCACTAGTAGTGACAACATAACACATTTACCACTTAAATCTTGCTTGATTCGCCAAGAGCCAAGAGATGGAGCTGATCTGCAACATGCATTATCTTTTACAAAAAGCAAAAGGAGTCACCATCACCAATTATAGCGGGTCCTCTGTTTAGATAGCAGCAGATCAACAAAAGGCTCCAAAACTCCCTTCCTTATTTAGTACGCAAATATGCATTAAATGGCATATATATATATATATATATATATATATATATATATATATATATATATATATATATATATATATATATATATATATATATATATATCGGTTCTCGTTTGATAAACGGTACGTTTTCGTTTTAAAAACTGATTACGTTTTCCGTGCTTCAAAGCTTCTCTATGTCCGTGCATCTTTTAAAACTTTTTATTTCTCTGTCTACTTCTTATCGAACAGGAAAATCTGTGTCCGCACCACTGATCTCTCTCCCTCTCTGTCTCGTGGATCATTATTACTTTGTTGTGCTGATAACGAGCATTATTCTGAGAAGAACAGGAAAAGCCCGAGACGTAACGAAATACACTCAGGGGCCGTTACATCCTTCATTCTGACCAATTAAAATCTACTTAATAGATTAGACTATTTGACTTGAAATTTGTCATTCCATAATTTTTTCAAGCTTACAAATAAGCATGTCTCAAATTCATAGGGTAGTAGATGAAAATGGATTCTATAGATCGGCTATCTATATAATTACTCTTCAACTTATTGTATAGTACCTCTTTAACTCACTTCTACTAAAATAAAATACAACGTATAAGTATTGTCCCTCGTATGCCTAACAATAAATATACAAATATATTTCATATATAACTATATTAGCATAATTAATCTATGTCTAAATTGTAATTATTAGAATGAATTCAATTTAAGGATCTAGACTTGCCCTCACATTTATCTGAGTGAGAAAAAAAGAAGATTCTCAACGTAACACAGCATGCTTTCACTAATAAAGGGAGACCTGAAGAAATCCAAAACTGACAACGGGACCAGTGGTGACAACCACATTTTACCACTTAAGTCATTATTTAGATACGGATGTGTATGTATTTATCTTAATCTATATATGTCGAAGTGGATGCACATATGCATCCAACAAAGCATAAATCTTGTTTGATTCGCCAAGAGCCAAGACATTGAGCTGATCTGCAACATGCATTATCTTTTACAAAAGTAAAAGGACTCACCAATTATAGCTCGGATCCTCTGTTTAGATAGCAGCAGATCAACAGAAAGGCTCAAAGTACCTTCCTTAGTCTATAAAATAATATACTACTATTATATATCTCGGTTTCTCGTTTGATAAAAGGTACGTGTTTTCCTTTTAAAAAATTGATCACGTTTCCGTGCTTCAAGCTTCTCTATGTCCGTGCATCTTTTAAAACTTTTATTTCTCTGTCTACTTCTTATCAGAACAGGAAAATCTGTGTCCACACCGCTGATCCTCTCTCCTCAATCTCTGATCACGAGCATTATTCTGAGAAGGAAAAAGTATCC